ATTTTTTTCTTTATTTTTAAGTTTTGTTTCTTCAATATCCAAAAAACACTTTGTTTACATGTTGTATACTCCATTCTACTTTATATTTTAAATGTTGATGTTTACAAAGCGAATACGTAACGAATTGTACATTTAAGTTTGTCGTTGAAGAAATCCATGTCAGCATGAATCATACATTCCGGGATGGCCTCGTAGTGATAAGATTGCAACACCGCTCCAATTGCTCTTCTACCTAGGTTTAAATTGTGAAAATGAAAACGCGAACCGTAAAACATTGATAAAGTGTCACTGCCGATCAAACCACTTTTCTCGTTATAATTAGCGCAACAATAGCGATAATAAAAATATATATTGAAAATAGAATAATTCAGTCGAGTAAACGTTGCCTTTGCACGATCTTTATTCAAAATCAGATTAAAACATACGATTCAAAATCCTATATTTTAGAAATATATTAATTAAATTTTACACACACACACACACACACACACACACACACACACACAAGTATATATGAAATTATTAATTTCATTAATTAATTGATAGAAGCGTAATTATTTTGTATTATTACATTGAATCTACAGTGGCCTTCAACAGTTTCTGACCAATATACCTAATTTTATTATATATTACTTAAATAAAAAATCTTTACAAGATCTAATATACAATTATTTAATATATTCTATTTATGTAATATATTTAAAATATCATGCCCTTAAGCTCATTGTAGTACAATTTTATTAGCTTATAATAAAAATGAGAAAAAACAGATTGACAAACATTATTGTAAAGTTATATATATATATGTTCGCCGGAACATTTAATTTAATTTTACTGAGTCTGATATTGATCTGTGCCAGAAAGAAACACGTGAAAAATATTCACGCAGTTAGTATAAGAGAAAAGTCTTATGTGTGAAATGCAATAGAAGCCTTACCTCGGTGGTAAAGCTCGGAGAACAACGAAAGGGTTGCGTTGCTCGCGCAGAGACAACAAAGCTGCTTCGTATATATAAGCGACATATGCGAACAGTGCTTACATCAAGTTTTGAAGAAAATACATTGTCAACGAGTAGTTTACGCGAAATTGGTGCGGTATCGATCACAAAACGTCACCTGAGACGAAAAAATGTATCCTACAACGAAAACACTTCCTCGCTCTTGAGGAAAATATAAAAATGTAAAGAAAAAGAAAAATAGAGATAGTATTTTCAACATAGAAACTTACATGTGTCAATAAAAACTTCAATATAATTAGCCAAGTTCTTTATGTGGTTTTGAAAATGATAAATCACTTTCTCATTTACGTATTTAATTTATCATATCTTTTAAATTGTTTATTATTGATGCCGTATCTTAATCATGTGTATATACGTGCCGACGCACGTAAATTGATCCATAACGGAAAGCGGTACAGTGAAATCAGAAGACTCACTCACATTGAATTAGGAAATTACGTAAATACGCAAAATGCACCGTAACTTTCTATGGCTACAGATCCACGCAGATCACTTTTGTCTTCTGGACATCTCTTCAATTAGAATCCTGCTATGAGAACCCGGTAGAGAACTCGAGTTTTTTGTTCCTCTTCCCGCCAGCTCGTGGTGATAATTGGCCTTACGGTTTATTGCTGCTGCTGTTGCGTTGTTGTATGTTGTGGATATGTAACGTAGAAAGCATGGGAACAATTTCTTTGGTATGCCACCACAAAGCGAGCTAGCCAGGACGTATTAATCCGTGGAAAATGTCGAACTGTACAACAATTTGCATACTGATAAAGCCAATGAGGCTTATACAATTAAAAAATAAATACAAAATAAAAAAAATTAAATTAAAAATACTTTTCATCTAACTGATCGTATAACTCTGTCTTATCTCTCTCTCTGTAAGTGTTGTACTAATATAATACTGTTGCATTGGCTGCAACTTGTATGTAACCCCTGGGTCAGGTACTCCGAGAATACTTCGACATTCTTTATTTACGTCTACCTTTCCATCGTCTTTCTTTCCTTTATGAACTCTGCGAACGCTTCAGCGAAAGTCCCGTATGTAATTAACTAATATACTGAAGTAAAAACCTTTGTGTCATGAGATGAAATATGAAATTTTATGTCGGCACAGCACCGACATAAAATTTCATTTCGTGACACGTTGATTTCCTAAGTATACATATGAATTCTTGTATACAAATATTGCGTGTCTTTTATACGATTTAAACGTTTTACAATTATTATATTGTATTGTATAATTTTTCAGTTTCCTTTAATTAAAAAAATATATTTAAAAAAAGCTTTAAAAGAAATTGTGTTTATACAAAAGAGAGCCACTATTTTTTGATTCTGAAAATTGCTTATCGATTTATTTTCAATCTTTTAGAACAAGAAAGCGATTCAAATAGTATCAATTCGCAACGTAAAGTGTCAAGCTGACTATTTTGTCTAAAGTTATTTATTAAATATGGCACGAATGTTATTGATACTCCAATTCTGGTGGCGTAAGCATTTACATTACGATGTTTATTAATCGTGGCGTCGTGTAACACAGTACTTTTGCTCATATTTCGCACAAGTCTGCGTATAAGCAAAACGTTGTGCGTTTTGTAAGTCACATCAACGTGCCGATAGGGGCAAACAAAGAGATAAGAGGTTTAATTATACCGCGTCAATGATTTCGCGACCATTACGTGTCACCTATCCGCGTTTTTATTTCTTCTCGAGCCAGCAAAATGATATCTTACGTAATAAATAACATACGTATACGATCTACACACTGTGAAAGCCAAGTTCAGGGTCGCATATTTTACTGTCTTTCTAAATGCGGTTAATTGGCTTGTGTAATCAAAGTAATTAATAAAATTATTTATGAGTTTTAACAAGAAGAAAAACCGGCGCCTTTTTATCGCCTTTTTATCGCTTTCAAAAGATTTTCGCACGCATAGTGCAGATGCGATCAGCGCGAATTATCAGCGAGTAAATAAGGTGAAGCTCGTTATTGTTAAAGTAAACGTGACTTTGCGAATTTACAAGTCTTGGCTGCCATTTCACACGACATTTTATGTAATTACTATTCTAGCATAAATTGGAGATTATGTTAGAATTATGTATTTTTCATATTTATTCATGTTTTCTTAGAAAAAATTAATCTGCAAGACTGTAAATCTGTAAAAGTAAGATTCTGTGATTTTTCGATATGACTTCTAAAATATATTTCAATGTAAAGCATGTTTCAATTCTAAATAATATTTGTGAAGCTCTTTTACATATCGAAATGTTTTTTAGCACAATTATACAATTTATAAAAAGCAATTAATTATGTAAATGAAATTTTGTTGGAAATTGGGAAGATTTATTATAATTCAGGCAATTGTCTCGGAAGACTCACAAAAAAAAGCTGTTGGTATAATCAATAAATTATTTTTTCTATTGAACTTACCAATTATGGATACGGATCGTTGACGTTACTTATGGGATGATTCGAAAATGTGGGACGGCGAAAGGGAAGTCGCGACTTCGGCAGAAAAACCAATTTACCGTTGCTTGACATGCTTCTGGATAGTACATTCGTAATACAATTGGGTGATCCCGGTAGACTACTTCGACAATACAAATCCTTACAACGAACATGAAAGCCCGTTGGGTTTGACGGATACACCGTTATTCACTCACGATAGTCGTTCACATGTTCGTAGAAAAACTATAAAACTGTCTCGGACAATTACGACTATCTAAATTTGTCTACCATGATACCATAATTTCTTGAATTTGTGCTTTAAACAAATTTTAACTTAGTGTTAGTCTTATTTTGTAATATTATTTGTAAGCGCGATTAAAAGTTTTAATTATGACTGGAAAAGTTACTTTTACTTTAAAAGTAAATTATAGTTCAGTTTTTTCTTTAAAAAATAACTAGTTACTGTGTGTATGTATGTGTGTGTCATAAGTTATTAATTTTAAAAAGTAAGATGTTACAATTCTTCCCACACAGCAAACGTGTCCAAAATACATCATAGGGATATTTTAAACATATGTTTAGGACATGTGATATCTTTAAGATATCTGTATGATGTATTTCTGCTATATGGGTTAAAAATAATAAGTCATTATTTTTTAGTTACTTTTCTATTATTATTCTGTTATTAAATTTTTGTAATTTTTTGCATTGCTATTTTAAATTAAAAAATCATACATTTATTGTAATATTATTAAATTATTTTACTTATTATATTATGTCTTTGTGTATGTGTGTATATCTTATAATTAAATAAGCGATTGAAGAATATATTCATTTATGTATAATAAATTTGGCTTCTTTTCTGATGTAGAAATAGCGTGTGACCTGTACATTATTATGTGAATCAATTTCGTATTCGTAAAGCATAAAAGAAATCATTGATCTTGTATGCCATGTACCTCTTGTTCATCACACACGTGATTAATGTTGAATGTTAAGTATTAGTACAGAGTTTGAATAGAACGGTAATTTCTACGCTTGAATAATATTCTACCGTACGCAAATAGTATATGATAACATAAATGTATGAAATAACGGCGAATTGGAGCATTCATCGACCGAATCAATACATTCTTATTGGCGACCTCAAGCTTTTTGCACCACTCTAAAAAGAAAAAGCGGTCATTTTTGTGATGTGCTGAAAAAGCCATTTATATGACCAATTAAATACCGTAACGATTATACGATGTAAACAAGTGCAGTTATAAACATATGTTCAATCTTGTTTTAACCTCTGTAATGCAAACTTTAACCTTAATTTTCAATTTTGACCTAAAATCTATATAAAACTGAATGGACCCTCTAGTGCTTTTAACGAAGATATATTTAATTTTAATAACCTAGCTCGCGCGATTATAGATTTTTTAATAATTTTATAAACTTTTTTCGGTGTAAACAAACGGGGTTGCGCCGCGTTTTTTTTTTTTTTATTAAACCGTATAACAAAACTGACGAAACTTTATTAACGCAAAAAACAACAATTGATCGTAGGACGGCCGAGTATGGGTGCCGCATCCAGAGAAGGTGTGGGAAGGCGCCGTGCTCCTGGAGAACTACAGGCAAAATCAGTCAAAGCTAAAAGTGCGCACGGAGGAATCGAATCAGACGAGGATATTGGAGATCAAATCGGACAATGATCTTCCGCCACTCCGAAACCCCGATATTCTGATAGGAGAAAATAATCTCACGTCGCTGTCGTTTCTTCATGAGCCCGCTGTCCTCTACAATCTCCAGATCCGCTTCCAGCGGCATTCCATTTACACCTACTGTGGCATAGTCCTGGTAGCCTTTAACCCGTACAACGAATTACCCATCTATGGCAATGACACGATATGGGCCTATAGGGGTCAGGCAATGGGTGACCTGGAACCCCACATTTTCGCCGTAGCCGAGGAAGCCTATACGAAGTTGGAGAGGTAAATAATCTCTTTGCAACATTTATCTATAAATTGTGTTATTGATATACGCTTGCAGCGATATTAATTAAAAAGCAAGTAGTATTTCCGTTAGATAAGAAGTTAACAACATTAACAATTAATAACTGCACGAGTAAAAGAGGCTATCTTTCAATTAAGTAATAAATTAGTTTTTAAAATGTATCAGACGTATACATGTGTGTATGTATATATATGTAACAATTCAATAAAGTAAATATTTGAATTTAATAATACTTTTATAGTTAAATTAAAAATTTTTTTTTTTATTTTTTTTTTTTATTGTTATAGTTGTAAAAACATGTTCACTTCGCATGGAAATAATTTTTTATCTAAATTTTAAATCGCCGCCAGACTTTGTGTATTATTTTAAAATACAATATAAAACAATTTGTAATTTTTTATAATGTTTTCATTTAGTGAAAAAAATACATATGGGTGTATTTAATAGATATATTTAAATTGCATTTATTTGAAATATATTTTGTATTATTATATTGACTTATAATTAATATAATTAGCTCAAACGTAATTTTATTTAATCTATTTCATTGAACTTTTTAATGTAGGGAGAACCATGACCAGTCGATTATCGTCTCCGGCGAATCGGGCGCTGGCAAAACTGTCTCCGCGAAGTATACCATGCGGTATTTCGCGACTGTCGGCGGATCGGCGACGGAAACGCAGGTCGAGAAGAAGGTTCTCGCCTCTTCGCCTATCATGGAGGCAATTGGTAATGCAAAGACTACCAGGAATGACAATTCCTCCAGATTCGGAAAGTTTATTGAGATCCAGTTCAATAAGAATTATCACATCACCGGTGCAAGCATGAGGACTTACCTATTGGAGAAGTCGAGGGTGGTATTTCAGGCAAACGAGGAGCGAAATTATCACATCTTTTATCAGATGTGCTCAGCGGCAAAACGTCTTCCCCAGTTATATTTATCCGACCAGAATCAGTTCCACTATCTCAATCAGGGCAACAACCCAAAGATCGATGGCGTAGACGATCTAGCGTATTTTAACGAGACGATAAGTGCACTGACGATGCTTGGTTTCACGTCCAAACAGCAGGACGACATGCTACGCATACTGGCGGCCATACTACACTTAGGTAACGTAAACATAAGTAGTTGCGTCAAGGATGCGAAGCAGAACGAAGTGGATACCGAATCCAGCTACATCGCGCCATCGGATCGGCATCTGCTCGTTCTTTCCGAGCTGTTGGGCGTCGAAATCAACGCAATGCGCAAATGGCTATGCCATCGAAAAATCGTTTCGACACGAGAGGTCTTCCTGAAGCCTATGACTGTGGAACAGGCAAATGGTGCGCGGGACGCCTTAGCCAAACATATTTATGCCGAGCTTTTCAACTGGATCGTGACCAATATCAACATCTCACTGCAATCACCAAGTCAGCCACACTGTTTCATTGGTGTACTGGACATTTACGGCTTCGAAACGTTTGAGATAAACTCGTTCGAACAGTTTTGCATCAATTACGCGAATGAGAAGCTTCAGCAGCAGTTCAACCAGCATGTCTTTAAACTGGAGCAGGAGGAATATCTGAAAGAGGATATCGAATGGACTTTCATCGACTTTTACGACAATCAGCCCTGTATCGATCTGATTGAGACCAAGCTCGGCATTCTAGACCTCCTTGACGAAGAGTGTCGTATGCCAAAGGGTTCGGACGCCTCCTGGGCGGAAAAATTGTACACCAAGTGCATCAAGTCTAAGCACTTTGAAAAGCCACGATTCGGTACTACAGCCTTTCTGATCTATCACTTCGCCGATCTCGTACAATACGAAACTGTGGGCTTTCTAGAAAAGAATCGCGACACGGTGATCGAAGAACAAGTGGACGTGCTGAGAAGTAGCGAGAACAAGTTGCTGAGAAGGCTATTCAGCGAAGAAGATCCTAAATTGGCAGTACCGCACACAAGAGTGAAAGTGTCTACTCAGAAGAACGTGCCGATGAACGCAACCAATAAACAGAATAAGAAGACGGTCGGCTCGCAGTTCCGTGACTCCCTTAATATGCTGATGGCCACGCTAAACGCCACGACACCGCACTATGTGCGCTGCATCAAGCCGAACGACGAGAAGGAAGCCTTCGAGTATAGTCCGGTGCGAGCGGTGCAGCAGTTGCGTGCTTGCGGCGTTCTGGAGACCATTAGAATTTCTGCTGCAGGCTTCCCGAGTCAGCGCACGTACGGCGACTTCTTCCAGAGATACCGCTGCCTCTGCAGGTTCAAAGAGATTCGGCGGGATGATCTGAAGGAGACCTGCCGGCGTATCCTGGCCAGGTACATTAACGATGAGGACAAGTTCAAGTTTGGCAAGACTAAGGTCCTCTTCAGGGCTGGTCAAGTGGCGTATTTGGAGAAGTTACGAGCGGAGAGACAGCGTGACGCCTGCATAATGATTCAGAAGACCGTGCGCGGTCTGATCCATCGTAATAAATACAAAAAGATTCGCAGGTCGATTTTGGGTCTTCAGAGATACGGCAGGGGTTACATCGCCCGACAAAAGGCCGAGGCTGTGAGGAGGGAGAGGGCAGCGGTGAAGATTCAGGCACGAGTAAAGGGCTGGTTGCAGAGGCGTTGCTACTTACAGATAAAACGTACGATTCTTGGATTGCAAACGCGTGGCAGGGGCAATATGGCTCGCGCCAGGTACAAGATAATGAAGGACAACGCCGCTGCGACTGTGATCCAAAGATTCGCTCGTGGATATCTCGTGAGGATGGCGTGTAAGAAGAAACTTAAGGACATAATAACCGTACAATCGTGTATCAGGAAACGCCAGGCGAAGAAAATCTTCAGGCAACTAAAGGCCGAGGCTAGGAGCGTGGAGCATGTTAAGTCGCTCAACAAAGGACTGGAGATGAAGATTATCACGCTGCAACAGAAGATAAATGAAATGGTTAGTATTATCTATATTAATGGGCATTATACACTTATAATTTTAAATATATAATACACTGAAAAAATTTTCTGATTGAACCAATAAAAAAATCCAAAAAGATGAGATTTCAATAAGATTATATAATAATAAAAAATTCTGTTCGATCTCGGCGTCTCGCCTTTTTGTTGGTTTAATCAGAACATTTTTCTCAGCGTATGCTTTATTATTTACTTCAATGTTTTTCCAATAATCAATGGCTACGTCTAAGAAACATATTAAATTATCATTTCAGGCGAAAGAGAATCAGTTCTTGAAAAATGTTCAAAATGAGATGGTAGATTTGAAGTGCAAGTTGGACGGCTTGAAATCCGTTGATGTTGAGAATAAGAAACTGAATGGTATGATGCAAGAAAGAGAGAAAGAGCTGAAAAAAATGGAGGAAATTCTACAGCAAGAGAAAAATGAAAAAATGGATATACTGCACGATAAGGAGAGAATTGCTTTACAGAAAAACGAGGAAAATAAGAAATTACAGCAGGAGAATGAAAGATTACGAAAGGAACTTTCGATAGCGACCGAGAAGTTGAAGAGTAACCAACGCGGTGCCGAAGAGAACCTCAAAAATCGACTTGAGCAAGAGAAAGATCTGCTTCGAATGGAACAAGATCAAGATCGCGGGGCTTATCAAAGATTACTTAAGGATTACCACGAGATGGAACAGCACGCAGAAATGCTAGAACAAAAATTAGCGTTACAAGGAGTGCTTGGACATTCGCGCTCTTTGAGCAATGCTTCCAGTGGCAGTGGCCAAAATGCGACTACGGAAATTCAACAAGATGATCAAAACATCGTAAGTAAAGGCATATTATGGATATTATTAAATAAAAGAATCATTTATAAAAAGAAATTTTGATATACAATAAGAGTATAAAGACAGTTTTAAATAACAGCCATCTTGCTATGCTTGTTACTTCTACTTCATTTTTTAATACTTATCGCAAATGTCATTTCTTTATCAGATTTGAAAACAAATTTTGTTAAATTATCAAAATAATTATGTAGGGTGCCTAAACTGATTTCTAGAATATCAAAACTTTTTGCAGCATTACGTTTAATTGTCCTACATAACAATTTTGATAGTCCAATAAAATTATTTTCAAATCTCCGTATCTAACTAAATTTTTAGATATACTTGAATAAAATCGTTCTTTCTGTGCACTTTATAAATAAAGTTCTATAGTGGTATCTTATAATTCCGTATATCTACCTGAATAGCTGTATTTCATATCTCTTCAGATTACATTTTTTACTGTTCATCATAGTTGCTACGAAAATAAATTATTGGAATTACATACATCCCAATTTCTTTTTTAGGATTTCGGTTACGGTTCCGTGAGATCTACAGGTTCCTCATCGACGCCTTATTCGCGAGTGGAAACGATTGATTGGAATCAACAACGTTCGGATAGTCCACCCGATGGGGAAGTTCAATCAAACAAATCACCTTCGGAGGCACCTGTGCCTGCACACGCGCCCGTCGACATAGGTCTCGTCCTGAAACTGCAACAGAAGCTGAAAGATGTCGAAAAAGAGAAAGGCAGATTGATTAGAATGGTCGAAGATCTGGAACGCGATAGTAACGAGGAGTCGACCAGAACGCAGGATTCGTTCAGAGTAAGTAAATTATTCGGAAAAGTGATTTTTCGTATTAGATTTTAATTTCCACTTATATTGATTTTTCGTATTAAATTCTCACTTACATGAGTTTTTTCTGTGTCCTATCCTAACATCTATCAATCTTCTTTTAATGTGAGCTTGACTCATTTAACCGATATTAAAAGATTATCGGTGATAAAATAAATCCACTTTACTGCGCTCCGTTGTCTTATCGCTATTATCATTGATTGTTATAATCACTGAGAAATGTGGTTTATTTACAGCTCCAAGAATTGGAAATGGAGAACGCGCAACTTAAGAAAGACTTAAATTCACTGAGGAAGACCGTATCGTCTGCTAGTCCATCATCTGCTCAACAAAATCTTATGAGTAATATATTACAACTTATTATCCATTTGTTACATTTCTTCTTTTAAGTTAACTGATTTTATATTTTCAAACACTTAAGGCATGATATAAATAAATGTACTGTACATCTGTATTCTGCTTTTCATTTTGTGCTTTCTAGATTTCTATCTAAAGATTTCTATCTTTTTTTGTAAATGCTATCTCTTCATCAATAAATATTAACTTTAACGTAACATGTAATATTGCAAATTTACAATCAATATTTTTTTTAATTTACACACACGCATTCTATACCTCATTGCCTGCGAAATTGTTGTTTTATTCATACGAATTAATCTCTGCTTTAAATACTAAAAATAGCTTAAGCAGATAGAAATGATAAATTTCGCAAAAGTTTAATATTATCAGTTTGAAGCATAATTTATATAAAAAGAACTTTATAAAATACTTTTCGCTTCACATATATTTGCTTCATGCTATGTAATTACAAATGATACGATATTCTTTCTATAAACATTATTAAATTACAAGATCATTAGATAATTAAAACACAAATATAAAAAATGTCATATTCTGTAAAGGTAGATCTTTTTATCTAATAATATTTTTGTGAATTTGTGTACATAATACCCAAAATTTATATAATTTTCCCCTTATTTGTGTTTCATTGGTCGATAAATAAATAAAATCACTGTTAAATAACTAAAATAATCTGTTTGCAAAACAGTATAATAATACTGATATAATTGTGTTGTAGTACAATTTGAGGCACTACAGGAGGAACTGGAAAGGAGAAGAGAGGAGTGTATTCAGCTGCACAGCGTGCTGGCTGATCATACATGTAGAATGAAGAACTTAACTGCCAATTATGGCCGCGACGTGGACATCATAAACGAGGACGGCGAGCTGGTACTTGCCTTCGAAGCACAGAAGAAGATTAACAGGTAACGCAAAAATATACTGTTAGCTGTTGAGTTGACTATTGACAAAGTGCCACAAGAAGAGTCTAACAACAGTCTTTTGTTGTTTGTGCATGCACTTTTCAGTAAACTTAAGACAAAGGCATCGAGAGGAGAGTGAGTTGAGCAGAATCACGAGCAGATTCACCCGTTTGAACGTTATTGAACTGTTCAATCAAAAAAAAAAGGATCATATAATTTCACATTATCACAAATGTCTTGAAGCATTTCGAATCAGTTTTTTTTTACATCAGCGAAATTAATGTTATTAGTACAAGTCATGCTAACTTTCCTTAATTTGTATGCTGTATGTCATTATACTTCTCCAACTGCATTTCGATAATTATTTTATAAAATAGCATGATTTCATATGTTTAGCATGATTCCATTGAACAATTAATTTACGATTGAACAATTCAAAAGTTATTTCGAAATAATTTTCAAAAAGTGAAAAAATTGGCTCCTTTGTTTTTAAGGCAATTGGAAGATGAGCTGCAGGCAAAAGAAAGAAACTGGAGAGTACAAAGAGATGAATGGCGAAACGAAATAGACAGGTTGCAAGAAGAAATCGAGAAGCAACAAAAATTGCTCTCTATTAATTTAAGTAAATCACCGCAAACCCAAGCGGAGCTTTACATGCAGTATGAGGTGACTAGATTGACGTCTGAAAATTTGGTAAGTAAAATAATTTCTTTTTTTTTTAAATTAATAATGTAAAGTTTATTCTCAATACGTTCAATTTCAAACGTGCGATTCTGTTATATATTGCTTTTAAATCTATTTATATCCTATTTATTTTTTATTGTAACGAAATAATATTAATTTCTCATTTATAAATATGAAAATTAAGCTTTATATTTATGTTAAAGGAACTTCAAGAAAAATACGATAAAGTAGCGGAGGAATGCAGACGTTTCAAAAAACAATGCAGAATCCTGGCGAAACGACTTAAGGATGCTGGATGTAAGTATAATAAATAACACTGTGTGACCATAAAAATTTTCTAAAGGGTGCGTGGGTTTGGCTATGTCGGGGGCACGACCCACTACCATTTCCCCAAGGGATTTGGCAAAGTTAGATCGTACAAAAATGGGGAATCAATTTATAGTTATGAATTTTGAAGAATACAGATAGTGCGATTTGAGGTCAAATATATATGATAACAAATATAAGCGTATATTAATATTTTTTTCATCACGCGTGCACGTAATGTGCCCTATACCTTAACGCTTTTGCATGCGGTAAATAGCCAATACCTCAAGCCGTTGAGTTATTTCTCTAATCTCACTCTTCTGCGCAAAAACGTTGTTGTATAGGGCACATTACGACGAGCACTTGTAATGAAAAATTCTATTTGTAGCGAGTGGAGGCATAGTTGTTTATAGGCGTATGTATAAAAATTGTTAAATGTTGTTATTTTATTTTGAAAATGCATAACTTAGTTGGTTTTTAGTAGAACTATCGGGAACTGTTGTTAAAAGTGCAAATGTTAATTTTGTTCTCGTACTTTAGAGGAAATCTGACGTGCCAGATTAGCGTAGTTAGCATGCCATATTTTCAATTTTAATTTTTTTCATATTAAAACTGCGGAACTATTTTTTATTTCTAGGTAGAACTGTAGAACTATGAAAAGTGCTACTGGAACTGTTGTAATTTTTTTGATATTGACAGAATGTCGTGCCAGCTTCACAGATCCTACTATCTAATGCTATCTCATATATTTGTAAAACAAAGTTCGCGCTCGCGCGTATAAGTGTGAGTGTGAGTATGTGTATGTATGTGCGTGTACGTATTTGTGATAATATTTGATCTCAAAACCATGAGAATAGCGCAACTGGTACTCCTCGAAATTAATAACTTCAAATTTATGCCCCATTCTTCTACGATCTAACTTTACCAAATCTCTTGGGAAAATGATAGTGGGCCGTGTTCCCGACACAATCAAACCTACGCGCCCTTTGGAAAATTTTAAAGGTTGAAATCGGTCACACAATGTAATTATATACATATTGTGAGAAATATTTAGAGAAATATTGTTGTGCAATTAAAATTACGTTATCATAAATTACTTTACCTCTTAATGCTATCAAAGACGAAGGAGAAGAACGTCCTTATATGAAAGGCACCGGTGAGTGTGTGATCTTGACAAATGTCATTACAATCATTGTTTCAATTGAATTATTCGAATAATTTGTGTATACAAAAAGCAGTAAGCTTTTTGATAGAAAGAAAAAAAATAGAAATTGTTTGATAAAATAGATAATTGCTGTAAAATGGAGTAACTTATTTCAAAATTGAGATATGTTTAGACCAAATTTTAATAATGTTCCAATCTTAATAACATTTTAAAACGCCTTCTGTTTTTATTTTAAATATATACATGCTGTCTAGATATTTTTTAAAATTTGAACCAATGTTATGGCAGCTGAAAGTTACTTCATTTTATGTAAATCAAAAAAATTCAAAATGTTATAAAAAAATAATAAACTAGATTACATTTACACCCATATAGACAATTCAAATTATATCAATTATTCGATCACACAGATAATTTGATCACACAAATAATTGATAATTCATCATTGCATAATATATCGAGTGCAATTTCCTAAAAACTTCGAGAAATACGTCAATACAAACGTCTTAATTTTATAGTGCCTAATGCGGTGGAATATGCAAACGGCTGCGTCGCCGCTTCTGGTACTCACGGAGATGGAAGTAACATGCCTATCATTCGCAAAAAGGAGAGAGATTATGAAGGAATGTTCGAATTTAGAAAAGAGGATATCAACGTGATCATACGCCATTTGGTCATTGGTAAGTGCCGGTGTTGCTTCTCGCTCAATATATTGTCTAACGAAGATTATTCGATTATTTCTTTTTACTCTCAATATATATATAATTTTCGAATTTACAAATTTATACATCCAATATTTTTTTTAGAATTGAGACCCCGAATAGCGGTGACGTTGTTACCGGGCTTGCCGGCCTACATCATCTTCATGGGCGTTAGGCATACTGACTGCATCAATGACGATGAAAAAGTGCGGTCGCTGTTAACCGAGTTCCTGAATGCCGTTAAACGCGTGTTAAAGAAACGCGACGATTTTGACTCCAGGGTACTCTGGCTGAGTAACACCTTGCGTTTGTTGCACAACATGAAGCAATACTCCGGTGACAAGCCGTTCCAGATTGAGAACACGCCTAGGCAGAACGAGCAGTGCCTGAAGAACTTTGACCTGAGCGAGTACCGCGTTGTGCTGAGCAACATGGCACTCTGGATCTTCAACAATCTCATCACGAATCTCAAGGAGAGAATTCAGGCCCTCACGGTACCGGCCTTGCTGGAGCATGAGGCGATATCCGTTCCGACGGACAAGACCGGACGACCCAGGTCATCGTCCATGGGCGGTGAGCCGGATTCCACGCAGCAGAAACTGGATAAGCTTTTGGGTGAACTGACGTCGGTGCATAAGACCTTGCAGTATCACGGCGTAGATCCCGAGATCATAATGCAGTTATTTAAACAATTGTTTTACTTCATGTGTGCCAGCGCTCTAAACAATCTGCTATTGAGGAGCGAGCTCTGCCGATGGACGAAGGGTATGCAGATAAGGTAAGACAAATCGTGCCATTAATCCTCGATTTTGCAGTTACTATTAATAATATGAGAAATCCAACACGAATACTAGAAAATATAATAAGTTATAAGAGAAAATTTTGTTTTATATAAAAATCTAATACTGCAGGTCATTTTAATTAATACTGAAAGATAGTATAAGTTAATTACTTATTTAATTACTTATTTAATACTTATTTTGAGTATTAAAAACACTGCCGTTCAATGCCTTTAGTATTATACTATAAATAAGTAATTAATTATTGTCTTTCAATAATAAATTGGCCAATATTAAATTGATTAATATATTAATAAATTTCTGTATGGTTAAATTTTTCTTCTTCAATTCTTAATCTTCTAAATCATGGTCTGATTTACAATTATTCATTTTTCGCAATTCTGCGCGTTGTTACTCGCGTAACGTAATAATATGGATATATGTAGAAATTATACAATGTTTCGTTTAATATTTAAGATATAACATGAGCCATTTGGAGCAGTGGGGCAGGGACCGACGACTAGAAACCGCGTCGGAAGCTCTACATCCCATTATACAGGCGTCGCAACTGCTGCAGGCTCGCAAAACAGATGAAGACGTTAATTCTGTCTGCGAGATGTGTCACAAACTGACGGCTAATCAAATAGTGAAAATTCTGAATCTATATACACCCGTCGACGACTACGAAAGTCGAGTTCCTGTTTCGTTTATCAAGAAAGTGCAAGAAAAATTGAAAGAACGTGGCGAGAACAACGAACAAGTAAGTTTTCCGATTGGAAATTATCAATAAATCTGTTTTTTTATAGTTAAATTATATACTTTTGAAATTATTCATATATTAATGTAATAACAAATTTTTTTATAATACGTGACATATAATACGTGATTTTTTATTTTCAGCTGTTAATGGATCTAAAGTATTCCTATCCCGTAAGATTCTCATTCAATCCATCAGACATTCGACTAGAAGATATCGAAGTACCCGAGGTGCTTCATTTACCCATGCTCAAGAAGGTGTAACGCAAACTCTCTCTAGGCATGATCCTGGTTGAGATCCCCATACTGCTGTACTATACTGTGTGTCTTTAGTTGAATTGAAAACATTATACGCGAATAACCGAAACTCGCTTAGTCCATTTGTTCGTACAGAAAGTTAGTGATACCAATAATCCGGCTATGTATAGACGTAGACGCATCGAGAGTGGTTCATTGATATCACGTTTTATATGTTTCTTTTTTACTCGTGTAATTTGTAGATTTTACGATATGTCGCCACATTCCGAATCGTATTCGCGTTCGAAGTCAATTCTGTTGTATAATAGATAAACAATCAGGTCTCAGTAACGAGAAAGAGCGATATTTTCCATTATTGTTATTGTATAGTGTTGTCGAAATGTAAGAAAAGGTACGAGTATGAAGCTTTTACAAGGATTATGAAGTACATACAGAGAGATGTATATTTCGCGTTCATTTCTTTTCAAATAAAAATTAAAAATCACAAATTTCTGAAAATTTAAGATAAATTTGGAAATTTCGTATAACAAAATAATTTTTACTAAAAAGTAATCTAATAATGTGGCGCAATTTTTCTTTCTTTTGTACAGCCACTTGATCCTTGTGAGAATTTCGTACGCACGATAAAGTTGAAAACTTGTTAAAGATTGTAATTAATGTGTAAAAAGGAGATGCGCGAGAGAGAAAAGATATAACATGTTGGAAATAGATTGTATATTTTGTGATACGAAAAAGGAGAGAGAAAGAGTTATTATAAAATTGAGTCCGATGACGGACTAATTTATGAATGAAAGAAAAATATGATAAAAGGCGACCGAAAGAAATAGTGGTATATAATTGTTGTGTTGTATTCTAATTTATACATTGTACATGCGATTGTATTTTGTGCCATTTTACAAGTAGATCGTACCAATATTCGTTTGTTATTTCGTTCGGTCTACCATTGTTTCGCGCATTACAAACGCCATTTCCACAGAATGATGTATGAAAAGCGAAAAAATATCCCTTCCTTAAAGATGTTATAGACAGAATATATTTACACACTTACACCTTGACTCGATGTGACATATTTATTTGTTCTTACAGTGAGAATATTAAAAATAAAGTCGAGGTGCTGAAGTAAAGCTCAGTGGTAAAGCAATCGCTTATTCAATCCGAAAGATTCCTTTAATTCTCTCGATCCTGTCACTTCACATACAGAATATAAAAGAAGAGTATTATATTCACTGTGATAAAAAGAATATCCAAAAAATAGTCCAAGATAATATATATAGTTTTTGAACATGGCCGGAGACACATTACCGCGTCTCCTGATAGGTAATGAATTGTGGTACGTATTACGATTTGAGAGGTCGTAAATTTATAATCAAGAAAAGACTACAAGTCGACTAACGAGTTCTTAAATGCCATATCAAAACCACGTTATTTCCTGCAATAACTATATTCTACATGAAAAATTTTAATGTACTATGTGCAAGAGTAAATATAGAAAACATAGGACACAAGTGACTGTAAATCGAGTATCGCTTAATAATTGTATTGGCGTATAAGTAAAAAATAATATCGCATTACAATATTACTTAATATACAAATTATAGTAAAAAGATCTGAAATAATTTTCAATTTAACCAATTCAAGCTTTGAATCATTATTAAATATAAAAATTAATACACTACACGATATTAATTAATAAAAATAAAGCATTTAATATAATAAGACATAATTAAATAAACAGAGCTTTTAAGTTTCGCCGCTGTTATATGGCGAACGTACATCGTCAATTTTCAATATCATCTTCACAAGCTGTGTAGCCAGTAAAATTTGTTGCGTCTTGCTCGTCAGCGTTTCAATGACATTCTGTTTCTTCATATCTATAATAAACGATTTGTAAAAATTTCGTGATTACATATATATATATATATAAATATATACACACACACACACACACACATCATACACATATCATGTATATGCAAACCAGTATACAGTATGTACAAAAATCAATACGTACTCGGTGTGCCTCGATTTAAACAATCTATCCCAAGAGCGGGATTTTTTTCGACTAATTGACGCGCTTTAATCTCCGCTATAGTGTCTACTGGAGAAAGGCCTGAATTTTCTGCGAGCGCCATTGGAACACTCTCCAAAGCTTCAGCGAAGGCACGGAAGGCATATTGTTCTAAAGTGCTAATTTTATCAGCTTGTGCCATGCATACCAGCGCGCAAGATATTTCCGCCGCGCCTCCACCGTAAAGAATCCTGTTGTCTTTTACTACGTTGCGTACAGTGCACAATGCATCATGTATTGATCGTTTCGCTTCTTCGATAATCTATAAACACATGAAAGTAATGCCATATCCATTACAAATTCTAAGAATTATTTAAATAACGTAATTAAATGTTGCATCACAAAAAAATAAATTCAATTAATACAGAGCATTGAATAATTTATGTAATTGCAATGCACTACTATTGCAAGGTGTCTGGTCAGTTGTGTACATTGAAAAGAGTACTACTGAAATTCTCCTTGCATAGAAGTTACTAGGCGCGTTCAAGTTGACAAAGCAATTAGCCTGTTCGTTATTTTTATCAATAGCTATCGTTGCATACCATTTTATTACCACCGCGAATAAAGATCGTCACAGCACGAGAGTTCTTGCATTCTTCAATGACTAGCATTCGATCTTTTGTTGTGCCAAATGTTAATTCTTTAACGACACCAGCATGACCAAGTTTTTCCGATGTCAATTCCTCGAAACGAGGTACGATGCGTCCACCAGTCGCAATAGCAATTAGCTGAAAAGAAGAATTGATTCCTTAAGTATTTAACATACAATACACATAATACAACGAAAAGATTACTATTATTTCAGGTCTCATAATCTTTGGATCATTGGAGCCACCACGAGAGCCAGATCACCAACTATCTAATTTTGAAAGCTTTTTATTTTTTTTCGAAAATTAACAACACAACATTAATTTACGAGAAAATACTTAAGCTCTTACCATCATAATGGCAGCAATACTGGCATTACCAGCACCGCAGCCAATACAATAGCAAGAATCTAATCTAGCTAGCAATTCAACAACAAGAGTATCGTATGCCGTCGACTTAATACTTTCAAAACTGAGAGACAGTTCTCCAAACTTTCGCACCTCCTCTAGCGCTCTTTTCTCATCATTAAAGCAAATTGCTATGAAAACAATTAAAATTAAATAAGAGATTTAAAACGGGAATTATGAAGATATCACTTACTTCAATCTCTGGACCGCCAACCCATCTAACCGCAGGCAAATTATTTTGAAGCAAGAGATGGTTGGCTTCGTCGTCAAAGCCCCATTGACAAATAGCCAGTGTAGTACCAGCATCCTTGACTTGCTTCACCATTTCCGTAAACTTTTCACGCTCGTAATCGCGCAAGGCTCTGTAATCGTCGACTGATGTGACATCCAACTTATGTTTTGTTTTGGGTTTTGGTGGTTCAAACGGACAAGTCAAAATGGCCAATTTAACGTCTTCTAACCTCTATAACATTATATGGAGATTAAATATGTTACTTATTAATTGTGAAGCAAAAGTCCAACTTAAAACATTTTCCAGACTTTACCTTAGGCATTTGTGGATGACTGAAGTCCTTGTCGACAACAACTCCACGTACTAAAACAGTATCTTCCAATCTACCACCGACTTTTCCTTCTATTTTGATTAATTCAAAATTAACATCGCGAGTGACAGGATCCATAACTGCCAATACAGCTTGAACGGCTATTTCTGCCATCTGCCTATGATGCTTGTTAATGCTGTAACACATAAGAAACATGTGTGAATAAAAAGAGGTACAAATAAAGATTTTATAAGCAATAAAAGTACTTCATTACATTTTTGAACCTAATGAGGTCATAGCTATGTCAATGTAAGGCTCCAAATTCTCTGGAGTTCCTTTAAAGTCTTCCGTTATTGTTTTGAGATGCTCGGTCGAATATTTGGCTGCTAATTCAAAACCGTCAGCGATTCTAATCGGATGAATTCCCTTATCCAGCAACTGTTCAGCTTGTTCTAAAAGTGCGCCGGCCAATACAACTACTCCAGTAGTGCCATCACCAATCTCATCATCTTGAGAATTTGACAATTGGACCATCAACTTGGCAATTTCGTGCTCTACATCCATATTCTTTAAAATGGTTGCACCATCATTAGTTACAGTAACATCTCCATCTGAATTCACCATCAACTTATCCAATCCCTTGGGTCCCAAGGATGTTCTAAGGATATTGGCTACATTGCGTGCTGCCAGAATATGTGACTGTAATCAAAGAATTTCCCATATTTAAAGCTCAAATTTTCACTATACATATCAATTTTTGATTTAACAAATTTTTTAATTTCATAATTAAAATTTAAATGTAAAATATTAAAATTATTTCCTTCAGATATTTAAAATAAAAAGAAAAATTTTGAAAAATTATACGTATATCTCTCGTAGGATAAATCGTGTGGAATAAAATTTATAATTTAGTAGCTCTCTCGCAATATCTTCAGATTATATAGATCGCCTTATATGGTCACAAAGACTCCAAGGTCTCTTAAAGAGAAACATTAATCGAGATATATTAATTTGGAGCTCATCTCTCGTCTTTAAGTTACAAATCAAAATCTGAAGAAACAAAAGACAAAAATCGCCTTTGTATGCTCCAGCGTGAATATTTCACTTTATTCACTTCCGAACCTTAAAATACCGCCATTACCGCTCACACGTGTTCGAGCGTCTTTCAAGCGTCTCTCGAGCATCTCTCGTAATCGGGAGGAATCGTAAAATCCTCGGCGACGCATCAATTAGACGTCGATACATGTGTGTCATTCGTAAGAGATTTACAAATTGATGCAGGAAACGAGGCAGAGAAGCACGAGATTTGTCGTCGTCATCTCACCTTTATCGCATCATGACCGGTAAGGCGTTGCTGCTTCTCCTGGTTGCGGATAATAATGAAAGGCCGGCCGTATTCGTCGAATGCCACTGTTCCGGGTATAGCAGTCATCTTGACGATCTAGCGTGATTCTAGATGGATTGACTACTTTTCGACGAAACGGTCGTTCTGAATCTCAACGTTTTCTTCGATGGTACGACTCAACCGTTATTTGCAGTTCTGCTTGCGATACAACCGGAACAATGTCGTCGTAGACGTAAAATGACGTAGGTAGAAGACGAACCTCGCGCATGCGTGGTTGCAAGGTTTCCATCTCAGTTACGTATACCGTTTTGCCGTAATAAAAGATGTTAAAGAACCCTCGTGGAAAAGGAATAGAAATGTTATAAATATATAAAATAAATAGAAGGTATATATTTTAGTAAGAAGAATATATTATATTCTTTATATTATTAATCTTTTTCAATTATCACAATATAAAATATTGAATATTTACGTAGTAAAATTTTAATTATTAATACAATTATATAATACCTTGACAAAGAAAAACAAGGCAAAAATTATTTATTGCTCTATTATTTATTGATTAGCTTCACCTCTAGATAACTTTTATCTAGAAGATATCTCCTGGATAAAATTATCCATTTTATCTGGAAGTGAAGAAATTGCCCATAATATAGAGCGAAATATTATCTTTCATTATTACAGAAAATCTAATAGAAATTGCAAATTTCGAACTATCTTCGATCATGAATAATGTTCTTCAGGTAACTCTGGTAAAATCGTCGGTCTCTTATCAGTGTCCATAATTTCCGACTTTGGGTAAAATATATATCAAGTTCTCTATTTTAGCGACATACTTGTCGATATTCTTTTAAAACACTCGATCTTTTCAGAAACTCATCAAATAAATTGTTTCACGATAAGAAAGTGGGTATCATTTCTTTTATTTTCTAAAACCTTTCGAGAAAGAAAAAGATATCGGAATAGAATCACTCGCGTTATCGCAGACAATTTATACCTTCCCATTTATCAATTCTCAAAATAAATATCCGAGCATCAATCGATTAAAAACCTTATTAGCTTTTTATTTAACTACTTCACCATTTAATTTTTACATTTAAATTATATCGAAAATATCTTTAATATACAAAAATAATTCTGCACATTTTGAACGAAAAAGGGAGCTCCATCGGAACCAATTTCCTACCAAAAATTAAAAAATCAGGAAAGAATTTCATGACGCTGCTCACATCACAGTAAAATCTTTCACAGCAATGCGAATTTGAAGCGGCCTCTTTCGTTCAGTGATATCGATTAATTACGATGTCGTGCAGGGAAACGAGTTTTCGTTTTATTTCATCCAAGATTCTATCTACATCGTGCGATAATGGCAAGCGGTGATCAGAATTAAGCGAGACGAGTCGACTACTAGCGGATAGTATAAACTTTGATACCGTGGGCATTATCGCGATAATTAAACGAACTACCTGTCAGAGAGAGAGAGAGAGAGAGAGAGGAAGAGAAAGGGGAAGTGAAAGAGAAGAAGGTATGGAGAAGGAGGAAACTCTGAAAATTACGAGAATGCACACGCGGGTGCTCACTCACGCGTTGAAATATACATCTCGCACCTCTCTCCGCTTTCCCGCTCGGAGAACTTCCATTAAAAGGTCCCGGTAATGCGCGGGTTACGGCTTCAATATGCAGTAAAACTAGGATAGCCCTCACTGTATATGCCCTGTGCTCATCTAAAGCATCCCTCGCTCACCCTCCTAACCCCCGTCACATAACACGTTCTGGGTATTCGCGCTCATGATACGAAAGATACGGCAAAGCCCGGGGAGGCACCACCGAGACACTCCCTCTTCGAGGTCAAAGAAAGTCGGTGAATAGAGAAATAATCGCATTGATGCGCGTACTTGACGCGGAACTTGACTTGGCGTGAAAGACGCCGCGAATAAAGGATATGGAATCGATATGTCCAGAATCGTATCCGAGATAAAAGAATAGTCCTCTCTTTCCTGATTTTCATGAATTTATAAAACAAACTTCATTCTATAATATAATATTAACGTTCACAACCAGAAAGTAGATCTGTTTGCATTACTTACAATTTTGCACTCGGAATCTTTGCTTTCTTTCTCTCTTCTTTACTCTAATATGTATTTATCTTTTTATTTTCTTATATAAGTGCAAAATTTGAGGATTTTAAATAGGACTGATGATTAATTGTTTTCAAAATTTCGACAATTAAATTTCGGAACTTTGGGATTAAAATTCGAAAAATTAGAATTATACAATTATATTAATTTAATATATAGCTATTCTTTTTCTCTTTATAAATATTTTTTTCGAAGCTTCGAAGTTAATTTGTGAACTTTGAAAATTCGAATACTTCTGAAGCTTTGAATTTGTGAAGTTGTTAAAAGTAACAGCTTAAATTTTAAGCAACACAAACAGCTAATAAATAATAATCATTCTTTCGTCTATTTTCGCGAATAACTATTATTTGTATGAAAAAGAAACACTTATTGTTTCCTTTAAAATAACACGCGAGCGTAAATCAATTTTGAAAAGGAGATCTCGCACGTTTCTGTCGTAATCTCGCTTCAACGATCAGCTTTGTAATACATTGACTTCGCTTATCGAATACAAAACGGGAATCTACCGGCGAGAAACATCGTCAAATTCCTGGTAACGGTGATGAGTAACGCGTACCGCGAGCATAGTTCGAAGAAATGACGTGACTTCGAGAATCAAACGTTTTGCTGTATACACGTGCGTTTCTCCCCAAGCGGTGGCAAACGCGTGGAAAGAGCAGCCTCGGCTTCTTGGAAACAATTTCGCCGCTGGAAAAGTATAATTACCGGTTGGGTAAACCGTCGTTGGAGACCCTCACTGAGGCAGGTGAACATTGTTCGATGAACAAAGTTCGTTCGTGAGCAAAGATCACGCATCCTACTGAAGCTAATTGAACAAGAACGTGCACGCGGAAGACGCAGAATATTTTTCGCAAAAATGAAAAATAATGATATCGCGCTTTATTACGCAAACGCAAATATTGTTCTGATTTTATGAGTGGAAGTAGAAAGATATAAATATATTTATTGACGATTAATTCTCTTATCGACATTTTATGATAAATGTCGTAGAGTTCATTTAGTTATTAGTTATGAAGTCATACTCGTTATGAAACACCAAAGGGGTATAATTAATCGTTATGTGTGTATATATATATATATAATATATGCGTCGTTATAAAATTATACATAGTGTCGGATACGTGATATACGCATGTAATTGAATTATTATAAAATCATGTAGAGTTCTGCTATATTTGCGTGCGATTGATTTCTAGAAGGAAGTTTACAGCGTGCCAACAGATGGCGAGATAATACTAAAAGTTGTTGGATGTATCAAAGTTATTTATATCGATCTTCATTCTCTATTTCGATATATACATTTTAGATAAAATAAAAAGAGAGTATATTAAAATATAATTTAAGACATCTATACTTGTGAACTCTATATTGCATATTTATATAAACAATATTATCTTAGAATGTTCATCTTCATTATAAAAAAAAAGATTAAATAGTAGATGTCTTATTAAAAATAATATATCAGTATATGTGCGCTTGATAAATTTTCGATATCGATATAAAATACAAAACAATATAAATAAAGCTCAGGAATTATCGATCGATAAACGTATCTTCCACTTTCAACGCGAAAGATTGCGAGAGAATATATGTATACGGAAAAACAGGGAAATTGCGGACGATAGATATAGAGAAGAGATAGCAAAGCATGTCGAATGCGATAACGGGAAAATCGGCACAGAGGTTGAATTACTCGCGTAATCTCGCTCGTCTAGATAGCTGATAAGAGTTAAGTAATAATAGATATTTCATCTAGAGTGCATGCAGAGCTGATACACGAACCCCGATAATCAATAAGCAATAAACGATGGCGCCGTTTGAAGGACCGGTAATGCGTCGGGCGAGCCCGTGACTCATTCAGAAATCACGTGGCAATTACGCACCTGATTAGAGTCTCCGATTTCTTTGCCAATATTCCAAGAGACAAGGAAGACGGATAAAACGATCAGATAAGGGAAAACTCCGTTGATTATTTTCTTGGAACAAAGCAAGAGTATGCAATCTTGAATATATCTCTTCTGCAAAAATAAGTTTCTACAAAATACGATAAGATCAGTTTGTTCGCTTAAAATCAAGCAAATTTTCATTTTGCTGCACTTTAATTAAAAATTAAATTGTTACATTTCTTGAAATTTAAAAGCTCCTGCAAAAATTGTTCTTCTTTCTATAAAATATTTTGTGAGATAAAATTTTTGCAAAGTTGAACTCAAAAAATTACGAAACATTCTATTTATTTATTACTAATAGTGTAAAATAAATTTACTTATTACAACCATCAGAATTAGTATTCTTTTTTTTCTTTAAATATGTCTGTTGGCTTTATTTATGTCTTCATATATTCTTTCAACGCGTCTTTTAAGGGAGATAATAAGATTTAATGCACGAAAGAGCGTTAACTAGATTACCCGCAATCTCTGCAAAACCACAGCTTTATGCGATTTATACTGCGTGATAGGTCAGGTTACTGCAGCTTCATATATACATGGAAAACACGGTTTTGCTGAAGAATTTAAAAATTTAGTTAAGTATAGATCTGACATAATTTTGTTGGACTATCAAAATAGTTATATGTATATTTAGGACGCTCAAACTGGTTATTAAGAATGTCAAAACTTTTCACAGGTTGTTTATCATGCTTGAGATTGTTACTTAATTATTTAGATGGTCCAACGAAATTATTTTCAGATCCGTATGTATAAGTTAAATTTTTTAATAATTTTGGAAAATGGTTTTCTCTGTGTAGCAACTTAATATTTTATAACTTTACAGATAGTTTCTTATTACTGATATAAATTATAAATAATCCCCCCACAGATTTTGTCCTATATGTATAACGAATTCGATAGAACGTACTAGTGCGCATTGGTGCATATTAAAGCCGTTGTACATTAATTTAATTTGAGTGTAAACGTGAAATGCAAATGTTTCGAATTATAAAATACATATTTTGTTTATCATAATCAAATTTATTAAGGATTTCGCGGTTTAACTCGTATTTATATTAAACCCACATCTCTTTATGCCAATTTGCGTACAGTGGCTTTAATATGCACCAGTGAACACTGACAATGAATGTGTCC